TTATACAAACATAAATTATACATTATATTTGTATAATCTGTGTTTGTATAAAAAGAGAAAGAGAGAAAGGCAAAAGAGAACTGGACAGGGGAATATTTTTATTGTATAATTATAAGTGTATAGGACGAATATATATGTATTTGCATGTGTATATACAATTTTCTCTCGCTTTATACAAACAGAAACACAATTTATACAATTCTGTTGTATAAAGCGAGAGAGGCAAGCACAGAGAGAGCGAGCGAGAAAGGGAGAGTGGCAAGCGAGAATTTGGAGGGAGAGAGGCGACTGGAAAACGTTTGCTACGGGGAGCAATTAAAATCAAAACAGTAGCTACTCCATTTATTTTAGATTATAAGTTTGTCATTCTGTACAATTATCCCTTTCATATATATTAAATTAAAATCGAACATATTATATGCATGTGTGCACTATCTTACACAACATTTGACTTTTCTTTTTTTTTTGGGGTGAGATTTTAATGTATAGTTTTTACTCTCTTTAGAAACTTGATAGCCTAGAAATTTATCAATTTTTGTCCGTTATCATAGGTGGGACCGTTGAGCTAAGATTTTGAATTTAAATTTTATCTTTTGAAAAATTTAGAATATTTGTATTCAATGTACATAGTTTAGTTACTAATCACACACAACATGTTAAAAAGAAGATACGCTTAACTTTCTTCTATTTAGGCTTTGGGTTATTATTATTGGAATTGTTTAATTTTTGGAATTAGTTAGGAAAAGAAAATCAAAAGATATCTTCTCTTTTTAATGTTTTTTGTCTTTACTTTCTAAAAGCAGAAAATATGCAGTCCAATTTGTCTGTTTTAGAAGAAAAGTTCCAAAATAGACTATGTAGGCTATGCTATGTATTACTATCATGCTTAAAATTTGGGGTTAGGTAGAAAATTTATTAATTAATAATTTAGGAATTATTGGGTATTGGTGTTTTCTTAGAAGCTATATAATTTATTATATTGCCATATTAAAGTACATAATTGATTATATAACTACTCCACCAAAATATTGAAGAAAAGAAACAAACTTTTATTAAAGGTAAAGCTACCAAGGTTACAAGAACATAAATATAGCCATTAAATTGGATACAAGTAAGTCAATAATTTAGATTTGGAACTCAATTAATAATAAGGCTTTCTTTAATCATCGAGCGTTGTTAAGTTTTCTTATTAATACTCTCCTACTACTTTTAAAAAAAAAGTATTATTTATTATTTTTTTAACTTCGTTCTCCAATCATCACTATCATGTTTCTTTTTTTTATTGATTTGACATTTAAATAAGGTATGTCAAAAACAATTTCTCGCTTGTGAAATTATTTAGAAAGTGTTGATATAGATAATAAGTCGTTTATGTAGTTTGATTAAAAAAAAAGAAAAAAGATGCTACATCTTTCCAGTAGAGATATCCCCACAAGGAAAATTGGAGGAGACTAAATATAATAATAGCTTCTTTATTTTTTTTATATCAAAATACATGAACAACTTATTATCTATATCAACACTTTTTAAATACGTAATTATTTATTTATAAAATTAATTTCACCACTTATTGCTTAAAATAAAAGCTTGACACTAATAATATCTCTTTTTTTTCTTCGTGATGATACCAAGGGTGTCCTTGTTTGCTTGTTGAAGAAAAAGTATAACTTTATTTGTGAAAAAATAAAGATGGTCACGGACATTACATTAACGAAAACAACAATGATAGGATATGATTAGCTAATTGCAATTATTTGGCAGTTGAGAATTATTTTTCATACTCTTATTATAGATGTAAATATTTGTTTATTAATTAATGTTTTCGTTACGTATAATAAGTGCCTCTTATTATTGGTATAACAATGATAATATACATGATATAATCGTATTTGTATGGTCTATAAAAGGTTATATGCTGACCTTAAAAATGGAGATATTATTTTCGATAAACCGTGAAGCTCAAAAAACTATTTTCAAAGCTATCTACAATATTTCCATGTTGAAAAGTCGACTTTATTTTGGCTTCATTATCACTTTTTCTTTTTTTTTGTGCTGCAATTAATATTGACTTATTTGGTTTATGATCAGATTAGAATTAAATATGACACCGACAGCACGAGAAATAAATCACTAATCTTTATAGTATTTTGCAAAATGCACATTTTTCAATTTTCATGGTTCGTTGAAAAAAACAGGAAACTAAACTAATTTATACCGTTTTGGTTGTTAAACTTTGTTAATTTTTCTAAATCAAATTAGGATTATGACATCAATAATCATCATACACAACAATTATTACCATAGTACACATTCTAAGGTATCAAATGAACGAGTTGATCTAATCATTTTAGCTCAACCCGACCAACCCATACCTAGCTTTAATTTCTTTATTTATTTTCTATAATTCATTTAAGTAACTACTAATAAAACTTCTTAACATATCAAACCAAAAAATAGTTTCAGGAACAATATTAGATTTTAATTGAGACCAAGAAGCAAAACAAAAAGGTGTACTTCAGAATAAAATAGTTGAGATACAAATACTAGTCCTGGTAACGCATCCTTTTCATCATCATTAATTCGTAATAGAAGTTAAAAGGAATAGTAATTCGATTCAAAGCAACAGAAAAGTTCAACTACTGAAATCACAAAAGGAGATGAGTAGCATATCTTCTCAGACGATTCGCTCCAACTCCCTTGCGTAGCTGAGTGTTTGAGTGATGAGCTGAAGGGACGGTATTTCCTTGCAAGGGACGGAATCTTTTACTTTCTGGAAGATGATAAACCCGTCCTTGATCTCCCACTCGGGATGCTCCTGCACAACACTTATGATCAGATAATTTCGAAAGGAAAAAAAACTGCTGATATCGATCAGCCTAAATGCAAATAATTAGTTATCAGAGATTTCAGGCCTATTATCTTAGTGAATGCAAACATCAACCAAGCTGCAATACTAGACAACTTCTGTAACAAATTTTGGTTCGATAACTAGAAAATCAAGAAACAGGGAGAGGGAGACAAGGGGACACAGTTTACCGTCTCAACATATTGAAGTAGTTCTTTGTCTGATGAGAACAGTAATATTTGCCGAGCATCACTAGTTGAAAGACGGTCATATGCCTTCTCACTGCATCCAGCTATCTCATCCCTACAAAATGACAGGAGTTGCACCATTTCAATCTGAAGACTAACATGTAAGATGATAATAGAATTGTATACAATAAGATTTTTAATGTGATTGGCCAATAATACACACTCACAGCAGATATGCATGCATGTATTTTTTTTTTATCAGTACATATCTATGTATAAAATGTACCTAGGAATATGGGCAAAATGAGAGCTTCTTGACAATGCGGTAAAAATTTAAAGAAAACATGGGATTCTATAAGGTATATGGCCGTACATTCAATCTGTCCAGCTTCAAGAAACCAGACTAGTGGATTTATATTCAGTTTAGAATAAACCAGACTTAATCCAATTTGTGTATTTATATAGGTAAACAGAACCTGAAGTACTAAATATGCATGAA